AGGAATGGGCAGCGCTCGCAGAAACACCAGGCACTGTCAGAAAAACTCCCTCCGAAGACACAGATCCCTTCCAACACAAGCGCGGGAGCTTGAATAGAACAAAAGCAAAGTGACTGATGCTGCTGGAGACACCTCATCCTCCGGGACAGGGAATGAGCCCACAGGCCACCCCAGCTGGGACAGCCTGGCTCCTACCCACCGAGCCAGCCCAACCCTTGCCCTGGCAGGGAGGGATGCTGCAGGGCACTCCACACACCAGAGCGGCCCTGCCAGCTCGAACACGGTCATGGCTGCATTTGGGAGCAACCGCATCCCTCTTCCTACAGGTTTTCAGAGCCCGTGGCTCCAGCAGCCTCTCCTGGCTCTGCCTGTACTTATCTCTTCCCAATGTTGAAGCCTTTTATTGCTTGGAGCCAGCCAGCAGCAACAAATAACAGCTTTGTATTATGTGAGAAAGTGTGCAGTTCTGAACAGTTCACAGTGCCACTCTACCACAAAACACACAAGTGGGGCTCTGCTCAGAGCGCGCCAATCCCCAGAACTCCCACAGACAGGGAGGGATATTAGCTAGGGAAGATACTTTGTAGGGGGAGTGGAGGAAAGCTGTATTGTGAACCTGAAAAGTGGTTTTATTAGGACTTGTTATCTCTCCTTCGCTGGAGGGGAGTACTAGCATCCAATCTGTCATAAAGAAAACCTTCACCTCTCTCTTCTAACATGGTGGCCTAAGCAATGACTTAGACACAGGAGTTTCAGACTGCAACAGATCCTTCCATTTGTTTCTGCTCCTGGAAGCTTTTAGCAATGGCTGCTGGACTGCATCACATCAGGTCATCTTCATATGCCTCCTTCCCTCTTGGGGGTGGGAAAGATCTGGCTTTTGTGTATCACCCCCATAAATGGAAACGTCCTGTGCTGAAGATGGCTTTGCAGAGCAGAAAGTCTTCGCAGTCTGACTGCTCTCCAGCTTCCTCCCCAATGGGCACAGTCAGGGGAAGATAATGCTCAGACGCCAGCCCCGGCAGTCGCAGCACCGATCTGATGTTGGACATCTTAGATGAGCTCCACATGGCTGCTCTCAAACCAAGGAGTCACAGGTCCCCTCCAAAACACCCCTCTCCAGTGCACCCTTCACAGGAGAGCTCTTTGATTGATCCGACTGCGCCTTGCACTGAAGAGCCACAGCAAACTCGGTGCCTTCCCAGGTACTCGCTGCAGCTTCAGATTCTGGTAGAGAGATCTCATGTGAGGAGGGCTTCACCAAGGTGAGAAAAACTCTCCAGGCTTCGGGTGCAAACAAGCTCCAAACACCCAGGCAAACACTCGCCTAGTTCACTGTCATGTTTGCAAGGGGAGTTTTGTGTTTCGTGCTCAACACAAGCAAAATGCTCCCCCTGCTCTTTGTGCTGGACCGCAGGAGGCACACTGCTGCTGCAGCAGCTCCCTCCCAGCCACGACCTGACAGGCTGCTTCTACTCCAGGAGAGAGAAAAGCTCTCTCTGAAAAGGTTTTGAGGCTTTGTGCTAGCCTTTCAGTAGTTGCCAGTAAAATATATCCCACCAGCCTGCCTGATCAGACTTCTGCAACTCTGCAAGGAGCACGGGTACAGGTTTGCACTGAGTGGAAAGACAGCCTGCAGCCACCAAGTTCTCAAAGGAAAGTAACAGCCTGAGTGATCTACCACGGGACCTCTGGAGCAGAGAGGAGATGAGAAGATACAAACCATCCTCTCTGCTGGGAAACCTGCATGATGTCCTTCTGCCTTCCCTCTCACCAAAGCCAGAGCTGGGGGGAACAGACCACACAGACTAACTGAGCAAACACACTGAGCTGCAGGACCTGGGATCGCTTGCAGCAACTGGTTAGGGTTTTTAAATAATATAAACTTGGGGCAGGGGGGGCAGGAGGCACTGTTCCATTGCAGGCTGCAAGCAGGAATTTGTGGTTTAGGTAATGTGAAAAGAACAATTTCAGCTTCCAGAAAAGACCAAGCTTCTTACACACCTGCTACCTGTAAGAACAAAGGTCCAAGCCCAAGGAATACAATTAAAAAAATGAAGGAGGCTGTTGATTTTGACCTCTCCACTGCTGGAGGGAGCTACACCTCCCTCAGTACAGACAATTCCCAAAGACTTGTAGCCTGAGCAAGCCAGATAACAAGAACTGCCTGGGTCTGAAGATCAGCAAGCTTTCAGTACAGCCTTTTCTCACTTTTGTGCTCCTGCTTTTGAGAGCAAATAAGCACTCATTAAACAGCAGCTTATAGGTTTTGGAAGTTTCACTGCAGCAACACACCACCTACCTTTGCCATGGGAAATGGGGCCTTGAGACCTTGGCAAAGGGCATGCCCTAAGGCTGAGCCCACAAAGCTCTGCTCAGGGGCTGTGTGCTACAGAGCCAGCGATGGCCTGAAACAGGGTGGTAGGGAAAAGCCTAATCCTGAGCTGACTTGCACCCATGGCCCCCCAGGCTGGTGGGGCACAGCCTGAGTGGAAGCACTCACCTCTCCCCTCTGCAGGAGGGCAACAGTCCCTCCTTCAGCAGTGCTCCCCTCAGACAGAAGCCAAAAAATCTGCACATATTCTGCTCCACATTTTTTTCTCTTTGCAAGTGCTTTCTGCTGCAGACACAGCCTCCTTGCAAGGCCTACGAGGGTGCTTCAAGAAACCAAGTTTTGTTTTGTTGGTAATTTATAGCAAGCCTGCAGCTCCCAAACTGTCCAGCATTAGAAAACAGAAGGCTGCTGTGCTACCCACCACCCAATGGCTTGTGGAGTGATTAAGGATAGCTTTAATTTGAGGCCTGCAGCTCAACAGCTCCCAAAGGATTGATAAAATATATATGGCAATCTCCAGTTCCACCTCTGGAGGCCGAACTCTCTCCTGAAGATTAACGACAGCTATTTCCTCCCTCTCTCCCTGTCGCTGAAGGAGGCTCATTCTCTGCAAGGTCCAGCCAGCACTGGGCCCACACTCTGCCTACCAAACAGCAACATTTACAACCAGAAAAAACCCTCCAAGAAACAGAATCAGCCCCAGAGAAGTGAGACAGCACCATATAAGCCCAGGATAGATCTAATAAAGAAATTGGGGTAATAGGGTCAGGCTACCCAAGGCAGACCTGGCTGCGCTGGGTTAGCAGTGCTGGCCTAGCAC